GTCTCAGTATCACCAAACGCAAGAGGGCTCCTCTCTATTATCGCAACTGAAAGAGCGGCCATCACAAATATATTGGCTCATTTTGATAAATGAATATATCCGATAGTTTTGGGTATTAATTTCTATGATTCAGGGCGTTTTTATGCATTTTTGGTTCCGAGCCCTTGAAACAAAAATAAAGTTTTGGTCATTTTCCAAAAAAAGAAATCGGAAAAAATACACGAAAACGCAAAAAAATACACAGATTGATGGTTTTTGAAAAGGGTTGTTATGTAAAATCTCGTTCGTTTGATTGATCATGTACAAATCGCCTATCGTTCAAAGAAAACTGTGAGTTGCTGGGCAAGAGTATGAGAAGTTTTTTCACGCCTAATTTTTTTAAGGAACAAAAAGAGGAATGCAAATTGAATTTGGCTTTAGCAATTGAGCCAAATTTTGAAAGCGGAACAAGCTGCAGAGGGAGGAATTTCATAAAAGATTTGGCTTAAAACTATGGGCTGCAATCTCGGCTGCAAATCTACCCAACTTGTTAAATTCTAGTAAGGCAGCATCATCACTAACTGTATTGTTTTGTGGCTAGATTAGTGCCGTGATAGCAGCAACAGCATTGCACGTTTTTAAAAGTTTTAAGTTAAAACTTGAAAAGTTAAATTTTTCAGGTTTGGGCTAGATAAATAAAAAAGTTGAAAATTTAAAAGGTTCAAAATTTAAAAAATTGAATATAAAATTTAAAAAATTTGGAAGTTAAAAGATTTCGTTTAGTTTTTTTTTATGTATAAGCGAAATTTGCATGATAATCCGTTAATTGTTGCTTTTGGTCTGAGAACCAAAAAGAGGGAGAGGAAAGTTTTAATTTGTCCAGGTGTTTTTGCATTAGTATGACACAGTGATATCGTATTGTCGGGTTTTCTAGATGTTATGATGTGATGAGGAACTAGAGGGTGGGGCGGGGCGGGAGGAGAGGGGGGGCAAAGAAAGGGTGTAAGGTTTTTTCAGAAAAAATATGAGTTTTTACAACCATCTACGCTTGATTTTTCAAGCCTGAGATAGGTGCAGTTTTCATTAGCGGCTTTTTATGTGCTGTTTAAATCTTGCTTCCTTTTGCACCATTCCTTTCATTCTTTCATATTCTTCTTCCTCCCGCCCTCATTTTCAAGAATTCTCTTGCTATCGCCTGAATTTTCCCGCTTTTTTTGTTCATTTAGTTGGATTTAAAAGTGTACAAATTACATTAAAATTGGTTAGAAAGAGGCTAGGAGTTGATTAATTGTTACGTTATAATTACAGGTAGTATTACCGGAAGGTGAGCGCTTTCGTGTCCGGTGCACAGCAGTGGTCAACGTTGGACATTTCTTTGTGCAAATGGTTAACGATCAAACAATGCAAACGTTACCTCGGCTGGACGTGTACATGCTTGGTGTTTATGTGCAACCGAGCGGTATACCGGATATGCCAAGGCCCTTGCAACGTTAGTAGCGCCACTCTTTTTATGTTATTTCATCAAAATTTAGTTTACGAAGCTAATTTATGAATTTTTATAATGCATAATTGCTTGCTAATAATGCTAGTTTATGGTCTCTGTGCCAGCCTATTTATATAAATTAACGTTCGAAGTTTTAAACTATGCTTTAGAGCAAGTAGTATTGCGTATGTTCTGGTTTTCTTGTGCATTTTTCTTTTCGTTTTTTTTAGTTTTTTGTCTTTTTTGGGTTTTTTGATTTAGTTTTTTGGTCTATTTCTTATTTTTCCCTTTTTCAGTCACTTTGTGCTGCATGGGGGTTTTTTAAATTTTATTCTTCTGAATTTTTTTTTACATTTTGTTCTGGCATTTAGACTTATCCTTGTGACATTGTTAACATGAAGCCTCCCGTACTAGTTCTGCGGATAGTTGTGGCATTTTGCTCAAAATGTCCCCGCAGAAACAAGCTGTTTTTGGCATATTTTCAAATTCCGCCGAGCGTACGATACTTGTTCCTCGTGTATGTTTTTTTTCCTTACTCATATAAGGGCCCATCCTTTCGTTCTACACGTGGAACGTATGTTACTTAGGAGTCCGGGTAATGCCAATACACTTCTACTGCAAAAGTCCTGAGGTAGAGTCGAACTTGCTTATGTTAGGTATGGGTCAGCCTTTCATTTTTTTTAAGGCAGTTTGAGTCTTTTTTCGCTGGAGAAATTAGAATTTTTTGTTTTTTGCAGGTGTTTTCAATGTTTATCGATAATCTGCGATTTTTTTATAGTTATAATTTTTGTTGTTATTCGTAATTGCAGCGTTTAATTTATGCATGTGATAACAAATAATTATAGATTACTAAAACTTGGTGACTTTTGAATTTTAAAAACCTAGTAATCCTTAGAACTGGGATGGATTTTCCCGTCTCATGTGTTTGAAAGTTGATTGTTTATCTCTGGTTTTTTTTTTTCTTTTGTCTCGAGTTTTCTTTAAAATTTTTTTCGTACGATTTTAAAGTTTTTTTTCATTTGAAAAAATTTCCATCTTATGTCTGCGCGTAAAAATGCCAAATTCCGGTGCATCAGTATCTCTGGGTTTTTTTTTTTGTTCCTTTGCCATAAATTGTCCATAAGTTTTAGCGGGCAAAGTATGTGCAGCCCCGTTCCATAATTGGTGGTATCGTGCGGTGACGGTGCAGTATTATGCGGAGGAAGATGAAGTTCTTGTTAAATTAGCTGATTATGGTGGATATTTGCGCCTTCCACGATCCGATTTACGGCAGATCAGGTTAGTCAGTTTCTGGATTCGCAAAGTTGCTCAAATTCGTTGTCCATGTGCCTCCTGTCTATCCATCCGGTCTTGTCACTGCATGTTACATTTTCGATTTTTCAGTGTACTCCAGGCGAAATGCTGAGCTAGAAACGAAATTTTCTTATACAGTTTTTTTAGTGGCACAATAGTTGCTCTTTGGTCCTTAATAGACTGCTAGATTTGCTTGAGTTCACAGGATTTCAGGGATTTCCACTAAGTTTTGAAGAGGTCACTTATTGACCAGACAACTGGCCAGTCCTTATGGCCCATCCATTTCTATGAATTATAAGCTTACGTTATTCAGCAGTGGCCACGCTTGAATATGAAAAATCGTAACGGCCGCTTGGCCGTCTCCGAAAGGGTTGCGCGTACAAGTTGGATTGCACGACGTTGATGTGGGTTGGAAGGGTATTACAGCTCAGGACCAAAAAGCCTGGCATAGGATTTTTTGCGCCGATAAGCTTAGAGGAGAGAGGACG